TGAAGGAAAAAAAATTGTTTTCGGTTTTTGCATTACACTTGGGCGTTCTTAAGCACCTACCTTAATGGACTCAACAAAGGATCCGATTAGTTTGTTTGATCAGACTGGCCAATATTATTTATGGAACTCATTGAGGTCTTTGTCTTGCATCAGTTGCTCGGTGGGTAAACAAACGCTTTTAGTTAAACCTTTATAAATGAGGAATTGTTGAAAGAAATCAGTCAATACTAGTGTTCTCCAATGAGCCGACTCAAATAGGCCTGCTCAAAATTGCCATTGGCTCATTAAGGCTTATTTAGTGTTATACTATATAATATATAAAATTATCACCTATTTGTATAGTTTATAATATAAACTATAGAAACAAGTAATATTTTTATATATTATATAGTATAATAAAAACTAAATAAGCCTTAATGAGCCAATGGCAATTTTGAGCAAGCCTATTTGAGCCGGCTCATTGGAGAACATTAGTCAATACATTTTTACTTAATAGTTATTTTGTATAATTTTTTAAAAGTTTTCAATTGTCAACACAGTTTATCGGTTTATTATATATTGTTAAATCCTGACGGTCATTGCCATAAAGAATACCAATAGATTTGCTATCAAAAAGCTTATTAATACAGTAAAAAAAAAAAAAGTAAACCAATGATAAATGATCTGCGTTTTGTTTTGTTACATAACTACGGGCTGATTGATCCTGTCGATCCATTATATTTTTAAACCGCTGTTCAGCGTATCTGTCTCCATAGTAGGACCTCGCCACGCTTCTGAGAACATATGCGTCTTTCTATGTTGATTTATTTATAGAAAAAACTATCTATATATGGCAATAACAAAGTATGTACCACAAAAATTTTAAAACAGGCAATAAATACTTTATTGTAAGCGGGCATCACCTTATTCTGCTAACAAGATCTATAAATGATTTTATTCTAACACTATATGAACTATTCCGAAAAAATAGTTAACTTACAATCCTAGATACTCTCGAACTCATTAGTTCATTTTATTTTATTTTATCTTTTTTAATATAAAAAGTTTTGTCAATTTAAATTTAAATTTTATATAAGTACTTATTATTTTAAGTATTAAAATTCAAATGAAAGAGTCCAATAAATTGCTCGACTTTACGATTCATTGAATCCACAAATTATGATTAGAATGTAAAATACTGTGTTATTACTTAATATTTTTTAATATTCCACGAGAAATTCCAGAAATCCCAGAAAGTTCCGAAAAGAAATTAATTTTCATATGATTCTGTATGTACTCTATTTGTACAAAACAAAACAATTGCAGAATTGTAGAAATTATAGCCGATCTATTACTTTTACCAAATTAGTTAAAGCTATGAAAAGAATAGCCCTCCCTTTCATCTCTATCAATAAAGGTATATTAAATGATTTAGTAACGGACACTCAACACCGTACACTGAGTTTTAGTATTATTTTAATATCAATAATATAAGCGAAGCATAAAGGACAGTCCACTTGTTATTGTAAATATATAAAAATAATAATAATAAATAAATAAATAGATTTCGTTAAGTTTTATGTTAAAGTGTCAGGCATTATAAAAGCTTTTCATTTCGGTTTGTCATAATCTTGTGAATTTATCATCATTTTTATTCGCAAAAATCTCAACATGTCGTTAAAACCATCAACCCGACTTAACGTATCTAGTGCATGCGATTCATGTAAAGATTTAAAAATCAAATGTGGTTCTGTCGTATTCACTACATCAACCGCGGAATGCACTCAATGTATAAAACGTAACCGAAAATGCACTTTCTTTAAAGAAGAAAAAAAACGTGGACCAAAACTAAAAGATCCAAAGAATAAAAAAGGAAAAAAACGTGGACGAAAGCCAAAAGATCAAAAGAATCATATACATACGGAAACTGAAAATAATCTGATTAATGAAACACATACAGATCCGCCCAAGAAAATTTGCGATAAAAGTAATAATGAACTCTTTTCTGGTCTGACTCAAGAAGAAATTAAATTCTTAAGCGAAATATATACAAAAGAACAATTGTCTCAGATATTGGCTATACTCAGATTCACTACCTCAAATTCTTGTCCATCGAAGGATATTGTGGATCACAAGTGCCATGAAGGTTGTATTATAAGATAGAATTTTTATAATACAATCAAACTTGATGACTCATCGTTCTTCGACTTCGAATTTTTGCATCTAACATTTGGCAAAATTTTAATAACACGCAATTCGATTTTTTATGTACCGTACAACGAATTTTTATATATAACGAGCACGCTTTGTATAAATTTTATTCGAGCATAAAAGACGAACCCTCAAGTTATGAATCGTAACGCACAACAACGCTGAATCCAGACATTTAGCTTTAATAATGAATTTTGAAAAAAAACCGTATTATTGATTTAAATCCGAAACATGTTAGCATAACAAATACGCTTTATGAAAATTTTTGGAAACATTATTCGAACATAAAAGACAAACTCTCAAGTTATGAAACATAACGCACAACAACGTCGAATCCAGATATCTATCTAGCTTTAATAATGAAATTTGAAAAAAAACGTATTATTGAATTAAATCCGAATATATTGGTAGAATAATTAATCATAAATATGCGACACCAGTGAAATTAATATAGGATATACTCGAACCTCGATATTTATCTGTTATCTTTTTAACAATATGCACTATCGTACATATTCGGTAGCGTAAAGTGTAAGATTCGTGTGCAAAGTTACACTTTAGTCATTTCCAAGAGATAGATTTCTCGTTCATGCGCATTGTATTGTATGAGCTAATCTAAAACGACACATTCCCCATACGTAAAATATGTAAATACTTATATTGTGATAAATCAATTATAAGACTGTAATGTATAAAAACGAAAGAATTCAATAATAAAATAATAATAATAAAAAGAGAGAAGTTCTTTTAAGATATTATGACATATGTGTGGCTTTTTTAATTTTAAACCATATCTGAAACAGCGAAGTTCTTCCGAACGATGGTGACAATAATAAATCTGTGGGTCAAAAATAATAAATGACAATATCAAACTTTAATATATCATACTGTCGCAAAATAGCGTCGAAGGGTGTAAATTCGAATTTTGGCTTAATTAAATTTAATTCGGACCATTATTCTAAATAACACCTATGGGCGTTATTTCGCGAAATGCTGTAAATCGCAATTATTAATTGTGATTGACTTCTTAAATAATAGTATTTACAGTTATAATTTATTTAAGCTTTGATTATGCACAATTGTCGTGCATAGCTGTTATTTGCCTAGAGTACTCACAACCGATGAGCGATGTGTGTCAGTGTTGGCCCATGACAAGGTCATAACAGGTCATATTACTAAGTTCAATTAGTGAGGTCATATGACCTCACTAATTGAACTTAGTAATATGACCTGTTATGACCTTGTCATGGGCCAACACTAATGTGTGTAGGGTTGCAACCCAAACTTACTAGTTTGGGTTTCGTAAAATCCCTCTAATTTGCCGTAATGTCAAACTTTCTGACTATAAATTATATTACGGCTAGAAATCCCAAATTTTTTACATGTAGGAACTCATCCCAAACAAAGAGAAAATTTAAACTCCGGACATTACAAATCAACCGATAACTTTAGCCAATAGGATCACGAAACTTTGACGTCAAAAACGCGATTTACCTATAAGTTGACTTGATTTGCACACTCTTCATATAGCCAATGCTTCGTTCACTCCGTTTCTAATATAATTTGATAGAATAAACCATTATAACAAGATTCGTTTTCCCAAATCAAGTGAAGCGAAATAGGTACTTTAAAAAAAGTGGATAGCCCACGCTAGTGCAATACATATAATATGTAAATTGATAATATAGATAGAACAAGTATATAACAAGCACATATCACAAATTTAAAATGCTTAAATAGTTTTTATATTTGAAATGATGACTAGGCGAGGGAAATTAGCATATCATCGTAATTTATAGTATTATGTTTATTTTATCACAACATCTTGATTGTATTTTTCTTATTACATCATTTAAACTCATGCATGCATCGAGTACTTCGATGCTATATGGAACCCTCCACAGCAAAAGGGGATGGGTCAAAAAAAAAAATTAGATGGTTTAATTTATATAATTTTATTCCAATCAATCTAATTCTTCAAGATATTGAATTTTTTTTAAAAAAAATTTTTTGACCATCCCCTTTTGCTGAGGGGCACATATATAGAAATTCCAAGGTGAAGTCATAAGAATGAATTGTCTAATAATCAGATGCGCATTAAATATAACCATATTCTTCGTTGCACTTCTTCTGGTATAAGTTTTGACGATGAATATGATTTCTGCTTGCTGTTTATTACTTTGGCTACATTCAACCAAAATTTTTATTGGTTATTGGCTTAACTATATTTAATTATTGATAATCGATCCCTGCAATGATCTTGAATTAGATTCGATCCTTAGGTTATCAATCTTTAAACTTGGATATATCAGATTAAAAGTAGAATTTGTTGATAGCCTACGCCCATAAAAATTCTTCTCAAACCATAATCCTAACCATTAAAACTAACATGAAAATTTTATGCTGAAAATTTTTATTCAAAACTTAGAAAAATCTATAAAAATAATAAAACATATGATAGGTGCAAAAACACCATAGGTGTGTTTTATAATAAATGTTTTAAGATGATACTATTAAATGCACGAATATTTATTTAATGAATTGATAGTTTTGAATTTGACATTATTTACCCAAATTGGATACATATTTGGGTTTTGGTTATGAGCCCAAACTAGGTAGAAATACCAATTCCCAAACCCAAAGTAGAAACGTCGTAACTAAAAAAAGAATTTTGGTCGCAACCCTAATGTTGTGTGACTGCAAGAGTAGAGCGCAGTAGTTCATAAGGAGGAAAAATGCACACCTTACTGTATTAATAAAGTTAGGAATTTTCTCAATAATTAAGCATGTCGATTAATAGAACTCTAATAAAATGTCCCGAAGTGCGACTGGAATTAAACTGTGCATGTATGCGTAAAGCTCTCATAAACCAGTCGTTACACTGGTTATAAAATTTAAGTTTTTATAAACAAAACAGCTTATTTTTGTTGGTTGGTCAAGTTTGTTTTTTGTCACCTAAACGGTAATAATTTATCAAAAAAATTGTAATACGGATATATTTCATAACTGGAAATGAATCCATTTTGTTATTATTATCACGGAAAAATATGCGGATTTACTACAATACGATAAGATTTTTTAAATGGAAATTTGTATAAATTTACTGGTATACCTTTTTGTACGTACAGTCATATGTGCGTACAGTATATGAGTGCGTGAGAGTGAACTTGAAATTTGGCCATGATCAGCGTTTTGCGTAATCTCAGTAATATACAATTGTATATTGCTGAAATTACGCAAAACGCTGATCATGGCCAAATTTCAAGTTCACTCTCACGCACTCATATAGGTATTAGGCCATAAATAAGTATGCATCGGAAATCGGTGATTTAATTCCTTTCATTCATGAATTTCTAAATTCGCTTTAATTGTAATTTAATAGGAAGATCATGTTTCCAAATATGGATTCTGTACTTTGGATGGCTGTTCCAATGAAAACTAACTTGATTGAAAAATAACCATTCTAGTGGTAGTGCATTAAACCTTAGGTGCCGCGCAAAAAAACGCGCGGCAGATCCTCGATTTTGATTGGCTAATGGCCGAAGATCTTCAAAATTTTGGCTCGCATAACATAATTTTTGCAAATTTCCGGCCGGAATTAACTTTTAATTTTTTCATTACAAAAATATAAATTTTTTTAAAAATAGGCCAACATTATGGCAAAATTGATTAGGAACAATTTTCACATAAAAGGCGGCTGCGATTTCATTAGTAAAATTATGAGTCTAATTGTTTATCGTCGCTCTTAGCAATCAAAATCAAGCGCATTTTTGTGCTCAATTTGGTAGTGCTGTTCTGCATAATTTTTCTTTTACAATTGGCATAATTTTGCAAAATATAAAATTTTAGATTTGTATATTAACTTTATGCATAAATGTTGCTTTAATTGCATGAATTTCAAACAAAAAACAAATAGAAAAGAAAATTAACAATTTTGACATTGATTTCGTAATACACATTCACATTTTTTATAATTAATTTTTTTTGACAACTGCAGGCTTTAGGATTACAATTAGTTTTTTTGACAATAGCGCAGTTTATTTAATTTGTCTACTTAAACTGGTTGCTTCTTGATGAAAAAAATATATTTGTTGCATTGTTTAGATCTTTGACTATTACTATAAATTGTTAAAAAAAACAACAATTTTGTAGAAAATATAATTAATTTAAATTTACTTTATTTTACTTAAGAGTTTTTGTTATTAATTTGACTTGAAAATTGTACTAGCTTGCCATGATATAATTATGTTGTTCAAAGGAACCACACCAAGGTTATTTGCTAGTTATTATTTCTAAACTTGTATACAACCTAATAACAATTATAATCAGTTTTTTTTGAAGAATTTTGCAAAGTAATAATTTTTAGTTCATCTTTAGCTTGTTAATATTAGATATATAAATTTTGTTTTATATTTCTTTTGTACCTTATTTGCATTTTATTTTGAATATATTTACATATTTAAAATTGCTATTTTATAAATATTTTTATAATCAACCCTTTCTGACAATCATCTGGACCACATTTTTTGAAAAATTTTTTGACTAAAAAACAGTAATATACTGCAAAAAAAATGTAAGACATAGGAAAAGGGCATAAGAAGAATCACACTTGTCATTTAGAGGTAGTTCTTATATACTATCTGCCAACAAGCTTAGAGTTTATCACTTACAGAAGCACGGCGCTTGTCGTTTAGAGATAGTTCTCATATGCTATCTGCCAACAAGCCCAGAGTTTATCACTCACCAAAAAAACTGAGTACTGTGCAAACTTGTGGAATACCTGTTGATGTCTTTAGAACTTACACTCATTTGAATATATGCCAGTGGTCTCCTCTGTGTTTTTCGCTTTTGCCATTCTCACCAAAAATTTTGACAAAAAAGTGGGCATTTTAGCTTATTCCCTCTAAATGATCGGCATTGTTTACACAAACCTAATTCAAATGACTTAGTAG